ATTATCATACCTTATACTGAAAATATTAACTTCGACAGGCTTAGTCATGGGATAATAAGGGACATAATCTAACAATTTTTGATTAAAGGCAATGTTGTGTATATACGAAAGACATGATTGTAACGAATTATTAATTATATTATCGGTCTTTACTATTTTAACTCTCGCTTTTGTCCAATAGCTGATATTAGTAACTAATAACTTGTGCAATAGGTTTAAAACTCTGCGTTCGTATGGCGTGCGTGTTTTTAAAGTGATTTTAATAATTTCTTTTATCGGAATATCCATACCGACGCAATGTTTCGCAAACATTTTATTGGCTTCATTATTGGCATTATTTTCGATGTATTGAGTAGACGTTCTAATATCAAAGCATTGTCTTATGAAGGCCTTGATTAACCTGGCAACGGACATAACTACGAAATTGAGTAATCGACTGTAAATAAAAAACGAGTTATTTAATCTATCGTCCATGTCAATTTCACTTGTGACATTTTTTAAATTTATTTCGGCCAACTCTTTTTCCGAAAACATTTTCCAGTGTTCATCGCCATTTTTGTCGACCTGAATCTTATCCCATCGGAATTTGTCGAGTGTATTTTTATCAAATTTGATACTTCCAAACAGCCATTTGGACGGAATGAAATCGTTGAAGTTTGAATACGGCAATATTTCCGCATTGATTTCTAATATATACGCTATATGAATTAAACTCGAATATATTTTTTTCACGTATTTTCCACGTGTAGAGTGAGCAAATTGTATCAAGACCAATTCGCGTTGCCAACGCATATACAATTTAACATTTTCGGGATTGTATTCATTTTCCATATCTTCTAGTGGTATGGTAATTGCAGGCTGGTTCTCACTATTTAAGTCACATTCATCGCAGGCGTTTTGTAAAATCTGTATAATTTTCTTAGTTTCGGACTGGAACAACTCCACGTTATCGTATATGCTTTGTATTTCATTAAAATAAAGAACCAGATAGATCATCCATTCAGGAGGTTGATACTCTTCGTTATAAATTGTGGCCAACATCATTAGCGATATATCGATGTACCTGAATATCAATTCTTTGTTCAGATTTTGATTTTCCATGCGTTCGTCCGGCATCACGAGCATTAGGTTATAAATTCCAAACGCTTCTGTTACAAATATGTTTGTGTAATAGACGTACATGCAACTCAATGTGTTCATTATTTCGTTTTCATTCGTATTAAGTTCTCCATACAACATCCTTAAATATGTTTGATCGTAATTTGAAGTTTTTGGAATTTCCTCATTATATTTCTTCGAATTCCAAATAGTAATGTTCTTCAGTTTGAAACCCCGATTGACGCGTTCGTGCATTATAGTCATTTCCGAA